AAATGAAAGGTCTCGATGAGTGTAACATTGAAATGAGTTTATATCTTAAAAAATGTCAATTATTAAAAAATGACATTGTATCTTGTCAACTATTGAAATTTTTTAACATATAAGCTCACCGTGACATTATACTCATCGAGACCTTTCATTTGAGTACCCACATTGCATTTTTCATATATTTTATATATATGGTATTTGTGAAATATATAAATATATAAAATATATATGAAAAATTGATGTGGGTACTCAAATGAAAGCTCTTGATGAGTGTAACATCGGGATGAGCTTAGATCTTTAAAAACGTCAATAGTTAAGAAAGTACAATGCAATTTAATAAAAATCATTATTTAATAAAGCCAAATTATATTTTTTATTTATAATTCACAAGTCACGGCAATCACATAGTGACTACAAGGTTGCTAGTTATAATTAACTAAGTAATCGTAAAAAATTATTCTAACATTAACTTATTAATTCAACAGATTAAAAACATGATGACTGTTGATCCCGTTCAGAGACTGACAATAAAACGAGTAATGACTGATCCATGGTTGGAGGATCGGGTTATAAGACAGCGCATTAACAAGTTGATCGCCGATTACAACACTGAGAATGAGAATCAATCTCCAAATATTCCTTTGGTTGGTGAACTGTCACCGCCAAGACCATCAGTTCAACAACAGCCCTTAGTACAACGGCAGATGTTGAGACAAGACCAATTGCAAATACAGAGGCAGCAGTACTTACGTCGGCATCATTTAATTCAAGAAGAGCAGAGGAGGCAACAACAGCAACAGCAGCACCAGCTTATCATTTTGCAACAACGAGCTTCTGCAGCAACAGTTACTGAAGATGATGACCGAGATGAGGAAGCTGAAATGAGTGATTCATTCGAAGTGTGTCACATTGATAAACGACCTCGGTGCGAATAAAATTTAAGATTGAGTATATAAAAATCTAAGAACTCGATTTAAGATTTAAGATTTTGATTTTAATTTTCTCACAAGTATTACAAGTACAAAGTATCAGTTGGTTTGTTTAAAATGTGCATTAATTTTATACAATTAAAATATTTTTTACTTCTTAATTTAATATTAAAGTAATGATTAGCTGTTATTTATTGACGCCATGTAATTGTGCTGAATTTAAGCGTTAACTATTGAGATTTATTTATGAGTATTAATTGAAGAGAAAAGACTTAATTTTTATTGTTAACGTTTAAAGAGTATTAATATTAATAATTATTATTAAAATATAAAATAGTAATGTAAATGCATAGTTGGTATCAAAAGTTCCAAAGGGTCTAGTACAATGTATGTTTATATGTATGTATTAAGTGTTAATTACATGATGTTAATATTTTCTTTTGATACAACTGACTATTGATAATTGATAAATATATTAATTTTTCATAATAATTTTATTTTTTTATTATTATCAATTTTTAATATATTTTCGCTGTTAATTTTATTAAAGATTTATTTTAAAACTCACTGGTGGGATAAAGTACTAGCAAATAATAACAAATGACGTCAAATATAAATAATACTTATTTGAATAAACAAATAATATATTTATTCCACTTGTGAAATTTCAAAATGTCAAAGTTTATCGGTGTGATAGCGATAAAACAGTTATAAACTGACCCCCTGTGGATAATTGTTAAAAATTTATTGAAAATATTAATACTTTATTCTCAGTTTTAGTCATTCAGATTACATGTTACAGTTCGAATAGGTATTACAGAAGTTTCAAGTGTTATAAACACCTGTTGACACTATATACACGTATTTATATATAGTGTGTAAGTACCACGTGCATTTCAAACATCCGACGCAAGTACTCGGCATTTATTTAAGCCGTATTTAAATTAAACACTGACTAAATAGGTAAGAAATAAATTTTTCAAATGTAATTATTAAAAAAAAAAATTATTGGAATTTGGATGGGTTATTAAAAAAATCTACGTACTTGTGAGTAATGTAATGTAACAGTGAACTTTTTTTTATATAGGTTAAAAAATACATCAAATTTATACTGGTAAACTAGAAATAGTAAACAATAATTGATTATGAAAATTAATTTAGCAGATATTTGATAATTTTTAGAATTTTTGTAACAAGTAAATGATGGTAAAAAAAATTTAGAAAAAAAAGTAGACAAGAAATTTAAAAAAAAATTAAAAATGCAATTTTTTTTAAACAAAATTGCTTGTTAAAAAAATTAAAAAATTATCTAGTGACTGTTAACTTTAATTTCAATAATTTAGCAGATATTTGATCATTTTTAGAATTTTTGAAACAAATAAGTTATGGCAAAAAAAAATAATTAACATGTAAAAATTTAAAATAATTAAAAATGCAATTTTTTTTAAATAATTTTTTTAAACAAAATTGTTAGTAAAAAAAAATTAAAAAATTATCTAGTGACTGCTAATTTTAATGCCATTAATTTAGCAAATATTTGATAATTTTTATAATTCTTTTAACAAATAATTTAAGGCAAGAATAACTTTTTTAAAAAGTTATATCTTCAGAAGCTTTAAAAAATTATAAATGTAATTTTATTTAAATAATTTTCTAGACCTAATTTATTTTTCTGGAAAAATTAAAAAATTTTCAAGTATCTGCTAATTTTAGTGTCATGCAAAAAAAAAAATGAAAAATAACGTTGACTTGAAAAAAAATAAAAATGCAATTTTTTAAGAATAACTGTTTGAAACAAATTTGTTTTAATAAACTAATGACACATTTTGTTAGAAATAAATATTTAAAAAAAAATAAGTAAAGATTTATCTTAAAATATTGAGTTAGTTAAAATTAAAAAAATAGTTGGGTTGCATCATTTAGAGTTTGCCGGAAAAATTTTAATGATTAGTGACATTAAACTATTTGTTTTTATTTTCAGATTGGACAAACGAAATGGTTGGGGAAAAAGTTTTAGTTATTGGCGGCGGTGGACGAGAACATGCTATTTGTTGGAAACTAGCTCAATCTCCTCATGTAACTATTAACGATAGTAAAACTTATATTTATAATAGCAGACGTCTACTTAATGACTGTTGAATTAATATGAGGTATTATATTTGGGCTCAAAAGTTAAACACTAAAAAACAGAACTACTGTTAAAAATTGAAGAATGAGAAACTAATCAGATTTGTATCTTAATCGTAGTAATTAAAGTCTTATTACAAAATTAATTAAATAAATTTAAAAATTATCAAAAACAATATAAAATTCAAATTACCAAATTATTAGATAAGTTTTTTGACTGATATTAAATTATGTAAATTTTTCATGCAAAATGAAAATTTTTGTGTGTTTAAAAACTTTATCAACTATATAAAAAGTTGTATTGTGAATTCTTTAAAATTTATAATCATCTCCACAGAATTGCTTAATATGAAAAACAAACAATGATTTTTTAAAATCTTGGATTGAAGAATTACAAATTAAATTTTTAAATATTTTTGTTCTTTAGAAGTAAATTTTTGAGTGAAAGTCACAATGTCAAAAAATTATATAAAAAAAAAAAATATTTATTTCTATCTCCATTTTCCACCGATCGACATCTGCTGTTTTCATTATTGATTAATAATACTAAAGTTAGCCGACGTTTTTAGTTTTTTTATTTTTTTTCTTTTTACTGAATTGGACCAAAAATATTTTTAAAATTGCACTTGAACTTTTTCAAGTTTTTTACAAATGGAATTTTTAAAAATTTTTTTTTGTAATAATTTTCTCACTAAAAAAAAATTATAAAAATTTATAGATGTCAGCTAACTTAATTTTCATTATTGATTCTATTATTTTTTCATCGATAATCTAATGCAAAATTTTCCAATTACATTAGGTTGAAAAGATCTACGTCTCGCCTGGAAACTGCGGCATGCAAAAAATAAGCAAAGTGACTCTGCTAAACCTGAACGTTAAAAACAACAAAGAAGTAACTGAGTGGTGTAAAAACAATTCAATAAGCCTGGTAGCAGTTGGCCCGGAAGAATACTTAGCAAATGGAATCGCAGATGAATTAAAAACCAGAGGGGTGATGTGTTTCGGGCCCGAAAAATCAGCAGCGCTCATAGAATCCGACAAAGATTGGGCCAAGTCGTTTATGGACCGACACAAAATTCCCACCGCACAATGGCGATCATTCACCTCCGCTGAAGAAGCTAAATCATTTGTCAAAAACGCGCCATTCCGAGCCTTGGTGATAAAAGCGACTGGTCTGGCGGCAGGTAAAGGGGTCGTGGTAGCTGCCTCTGAAGACGAAGCATGTCTTGCAATTGACGAGATGCTTGTTGACAAGAAATTCGGCGCAGCCGGAGAGACAATTGTCGTTGAAGAGCTGCTCGAAGGAGAAGAAGTTTCCATGTTAGCGTTCACCGACGGCAAAACTTTCAAAATGATGCCACCGACTCAAGACCACAAAAGAATATTCGACGGTGACCTGGGTCCCAACACCGGTGGAATGGGCGCTTACGGCCCCTGTCACCTGCTGACTCCAGAAGACCAAGAAATCGTCAGGAACAAAGTTCTCGAATCAGCGATTCGCGGGTTCCAGGATGACAAACTTCCGTACGTAGGCGTTCTTTATGCTGGGCTGATGCTCACCAAATCCGGGCCCAAAGTTCTGGAGTTCAACTGTCGGTTTGGTGATCCAGAGACTCAAATAATCATGCCCTTGTTGGACTCTGATCTCTTTTTGATAATGAAGTCATGTTGTCAAGGTAATTTGTCTTCTCTGAATATCAACTGGCATGCGGATAAATTCGCCGTTGGAGTGATTCTGGCGTCTCGCGGCTACCCAGCTTCTTCCTCAAAGGGCCAGGTGATAACCAACATCAGTTCCATAGAATCACGTCCAAACCACTTTGTCTTCCACAGCGGAACGGCTTTGTCCAACGGCGAAATAGTAACCAACGGTGGAAGAGTCCTGATAACAACTTGCCTGTCTTCTTCCCTTGAATCCGCGGCAGCAAAAGCAACCATTGCAGCTAGAGAGATTTCATTCGACGGCAAGCAGTTCCGGAAAGACATCGCGCACAAAGGAATCGCTTCGTCGATCCTAAAGTCTGGGACTTTGTCTTACAAGAGCAGCGGAGTTGATATCCAAGCTGGTGATTCTTTGGTAGGGCGAATAAAGTCTCTAGTTTCGGGAACAAAGACGTCAGGAGTGTTGGGGTCTATCGGAGGATTCGGAGGACTTTTTGACACTCGCGCAGCCGGGTTTGTAGATCCTATTTTGGTGAGTGGAACTGACGGAGTCGGGACTAAGCTGAAAATCGCTATCGAGGCGGGTAAACATCAAACAGTTGGGATAGATTTGGTAGCTATGTGCGTCAATGACGTCCTAGCACATGGAGCCCAGCCGCTTTTCTTCCTTGATTACTTTGCTTGTGGTCATCTGGATGTCAATGTAGCCGCTGAAGTGGTCAGTGGCATTGTCGAAGGCTGCAAGCGAGCTGGCTGTTCGCTGATCGGCGGTGAAACTGCCGAAATGCCGGATATGTATTCTACAGGAGATTATGACTTAGCAGGATTTGCTGTTGGAGCTGTTGAGAGGGAAAATTTACTCCCTAGAAGCGGAGAAATAGGTGAAGGTGATGTAGTTATCGGGTTACCTTCTTCGGGAGTTCACAGCAACGGGTTCAGTTTGGTGAGAAAGGTTCTTAAGTTGAATGGAATTTGCTTGCAAGATACTGCGCCGTTTTCAACGCGAACTTTTGCTGAGGAGCTGCTGGAACCAACAAGAATTTACACGCGTAGTGTTGTTGAGGCTCTGAAGGCCAAGGTTGTTAAAGCTTTTGCCCATATTACGGGCGGAGGATTGGTGGAAAATGTCCCGAGAGTTTTGCCCCCTGGGCTGGCAGTTGTTCTTGATGCTGACAAGTGGAAAATTCCGAGAATTTTTGGCTGGTTGGCAACTGCTGGTGGAGTAAATGAAGCAGAGATGCTGAGGACTTTCAACTGTGGAATTGGAGGAATTATTGTTTGTGCTAAACAGCATCAGGATAGAGTTTTAAAATTGCTGGAAGCTGAATATCCGGTTGTTGTTGGGTCTGTGGTGAAGAAATCCGACAAGCCGACTGTGGTGGTGAATTTTTCACGTGCTATTGAAAGCGAAATGCGTCGGTATGTGCCGATGTTGATGGAGAGACTGGTCTCGCCGTGTAAGAAGGTGGGGGTTCTTATTTCTGGCAGTGGAACTAACCTTCAAGCGCTTATTGACGCTACTAGAGACCCTGCGCAGAGAATGTGCGCAGAAATAGTTCTTGTTCTGTCGAACAAGCCCGGAGTCGAGGGACTGCAACGGGCTAAACGGGCTGGCATTCCCACGAGCGTTATTAAGCACGTGGATTATAAGACACGCGAAGAGTTTGATGAAGCTATGGATCAGGAGTTGAGCGCTAAGGGAGTGGAAATAGTTTGTCTTGCGGGATTTATGAGGATTTTGTCGGAGAAATTTGTTAGAAAATGGAAGGGCGCTTTGCTTAATGTACATCCTTCATTGCTACCAGCTTTCAAGGGAGCTAATGCTCATAAAGATGTTTTGGAGATGGGCGTCAGAGTTACTGGGTGCACTGTTCACTTTGTTGAGGTCGGTATTTTTTGAGGTGAGACTTTGTGTCTTGAAAAGACTTATCAGGATTATTTTTTTTTTTTTTAGGTTGAAATTGATTCCGGAGCAATAATCGAACAGGAAGCAGTACCTGTGTTACCGGATGACACGGTTCAAACTCTTCAAGAAAAAGTCAAAGTCGCTGAACACAGAATTTATCCCAAGGCATTGCAATACCTTGCGACAGGTCGTATTGGATTGGATGCTAATGGCAAAATTTATTGGAACTATTGACTTGAATCTTCTTTTTCTTAAAAATTATCCATAGCTTTGAATTTATATTTTATGTTGTTTTTTTTATGAATAACTTTGTATAAATGAAATTAATTAAAGTCATTTTTATTACTTTCTTAATGTTATTAATTATGATTCAAATTTCAGCCACATTTAATTATAAGTTATTGAACTTGATTCAGTGTGATAAAACTTTTTACTATTAAAAAATTGGATTTACATTAGCAAAACTATAATTTATTGGAATCTTTTTATTAAAAAATTTAATCTAAATCATATTTTTATTGCTATCTATTTTCATATGGACAAATATTTTACAATGATTTTTTTAAATTTATTTTTAACAACTTAAATGCATTAGAAAATTATGTACAATGAGAAAAAAAAATTAATTGAGATGATTCACTCACGACATTTGTGCTATTGTTTTATTTATCATTCTCTAGTGCTGCCTTTCTCACGGACTATCTCTTAATCGCTTTTACTAATGATTATTTTAGTTTGCCTAGCTAGTTAATTGCTATTTATAAAAATTATACTAAAATTAACAGACTTTTATCATTTTTTTATTTTTAACTTCCCGCTAAAAATCTCAGATTTTCAAAAATCGGGAAGTTATTGTTTTCACCCCGTTTCGCAAAAATCGAGTTTTCATCAGATCTCGACGTTTTAAGGTCATAGGAAGCTTCTCTGATTACCCCCGCGGTGGTGTCTGTATGCATGCATGTATGTGTGTGTGGATGTATGTAAACCTCTTATAACTTTTAAACGGCTTGACCGATTTTATCGCGGTTGGTGCCATTCGAAAGGGCTTGACTAAACTTAGATTTCTAATGCACTTTCGACCGATTCGGACCGGTAAATTTTGAGAAATCGCAAAAAAACTACAAAAAAAAAATTTTTCAAAAGTGGTTTTTTTTGGAATAACTTTTAAACGGCTTTACCGATCTATTTCAAAAACTAATCAGCTCTTAACATAAAAAAATCACGTCGATCGCCGCCAACCCGGTCAAAATCGGTTAATTCGTTCGTGAGTTATCATTGACGAAAGAAAACCGAAAAAAGCGTTTTTTCGGAATTACTCCAAATTTTTCCACTCTGTCAATATAAACTCAAAGATTTTTTATGAAGCTTAAAAAACTGCGTCGAATGCCACCAACCGCGTGAAAATCGGTTTATTCATTCAAAAGCTATTGCGATTTGAAAATTAAAAAAATAGTGTTTTTATCAAACTTTTGAGCTCGAAGAGTTCCGCGCGCAACATGTACCGGGATAATAGTAAAGTTTGTTGACACATGCGTTTGATTCAGAGTTTAGCAATTAATTTATTACAACTAAAACAACCCCAGACAACATCCAAGTCAGAAGGATTTCTTAAAGATGTCTTTTCAAAGACTTCCTTGAGAACTCCAAATATATGACGTCTTAAAGACCTCATTTTTCGGAACTCTTAATTAAGAAGTCTTTAAGAAGTTTTTTTTTAAGTTCTATAAGACATCACAGATATGAGCTCTTTGAGAAGTCGTTTTTCCGACTTTTTTTTAAGTTCTATAAGACATCACAGATATGAGCTCTTTGAGAAGTCTTTTTTCCGACTTCGTAAGAGGTCATAAAAATGAGCTGTTTAAGAGGTCTTTTTTTATACTTTCCAAGACATCAGAAATATGAGCTCTTTAAGAGTTCTTTTTTTCTGACTTCGTTAGACATCAAGAATAGGAGCTCTTTAATAGGTTTTTTTTTTGATTTTGTACTTCGTCAAAATATGGGACTTAGAAAAATTTTTTTCACGTTATTGAAGAATTTTTAAAATGATAAAAAAATAAAAATAATCGCATTCGAGTGAACTCATTTCGCTGTGTATTTATTTTTGTATTATAAAAATATTATCGTAAATAGCAAAACGTTCAGTGATTCTACTTATTAAAAATTAAATCGATAATTAAATCGAAAAGTATTTTTTTTTTTATTTTTGGGTAGAAAAGTTGATATCAAGTTATTTATCGTTGCTATAAGTCGTTTGTAATCTTATGTGAACATAAGAGCTTATGTAGAGAAAAAAAATTTACTATTTCATTAGGAACAGCTAGCCAAGGCAGACCAGAGGACACCACATCACTGAAGTTAAGACGCATTAGTCATGATAAATACTTGGATGGGTGACCGCTAGTAAATTCGTATTCTAAGCTGCGAGCGATACCATTTTTTTTTTTTTTTTTTATTTCGAAGAAAATATATTTTAATGTACTTGATTGTCTTCAATTTAAGCTCTTTTTTTAATATTAATTACAATAAAATTAAAACTGAAAATGTATCCTCTATAAACTATTTTTTTCTGGAGTCAGAAAGGGCTCTTAATTCTGACTTCTTGAAGAACTCTTTTTTTGAAGTCAGAAAAAAGAGCTCTTTAAGAACTCTCTCTATGAAGTCCTGATTCACTCTTTAGGTGGCGCATTGGACGTCCTCAAAACGTCTTGGAGACCTCATTTTGATCAAAATTCTGACGTCTAAATCTTAAATAAGAGTTCTCTGAGAACTGTAAAAGACGTCATATTGCTATCTGGGGCGGTTACTTTACACAAATTTTCCAACCCGTTTCAACGACGTATCAGTGAGTATACTACTTGAAACCAGCAGATCCCAGTGTGAAACTTAGTGTGACATTGTCTCCATATACCCTTACTACCCTTTTCTTTTATACCTGATACTGTATTTACCAATATTGGTCTTATACTAGGTACTTAAAAGTCCCATCACTGTTTTTTACAAACGTTTTGAGAGTGAATAAAAATTATTTTTAATTCTCAATAAGCGAAACAACCCATAGTCATTGTTGACGGTTTTGGTATTATCTTTTATATATTTAATTATAGTGTGTTCAATCAAATTCCTTTCATTATTTATGTAATTTAAAGTAACTCTTTTTTTTTGGAAGATATCTTTAATTTACGAAATTTTGTTGTCTTATAAAAATCCATTCTACGATTCGTTGGAATGATAATTTTTTGTTCTGTATATTGTACGTGAATGTCTAAATATTTCTATTTTCTTTGTTAGAAGTTACAACTTGAGAAACATATGTTTGCTCTTTTACTACTTTAACTCATACATAACCAACGACTATTTCGAGGATATGTTTAAAATTGCTTAAAGAGTCTTAAACCTGAAGGTCACTTGAACCATAGTCTGTAAAATAAATATATTTCGCATGTTATATTCTAGCGAGAGTGAATTTTTAATACTTAAAAATGATTATTCATTTCGATATCTCACAAACGGATCAACCGATTTTGACCGGTCCAACGGCGATCGACGTGGTTTTTCAAGGTTAATAGAGCTGATTAGTTTTTGGAATCAATCGGTATAGCCGTTTAAAAGTTATTCCAAAAAAACGATTTTTTGAAAATTTTGTTTTTGAAATTTCTAAAAATCTAGCGAACCGAATCGATTTAAATTTTCACGAAATTTAATGGCTATGATACTCTTTGGATCGCCACTGATTTCAATCCGATCGGCCAAGCCGTTCAAAAGTTATAAGAGGTTTACATACATACATACACACACACACACACACACACACACACACACACACTCGGGGCAGAAGAGATACTGCTACCGGGCGCGTCTCCCCGAGCGGATGGGAGAACGCTCGCTGTCCTTGGATGACACTTGGATAATCTCTTAGTTGATGAGGTACAGAGGGTAGGAGTTGAATAAAATACGCTCCCGTGGACAAAACTCCCCTTTACTGGGTTGGTCACACTAACTGACCTAACAAGACGATCGGTCCCTACTGTAACTCACTGGGAGTGTCCGGAACCTGTATCGTAGTTTCCGACGATGCAGGCCACGGCTGATGTGAGCTTGCTCTGCCGAGGTGTAAGTTGCAGTAGTGGATCAGGAGCCAGTCACTTCGGGCCTTGATCAGGAAGTACGCAGTGAGTGTTAGAGATCGGAATCTTCACCGCCCCGAGCGAGTCTAGTCCGTCCGTGTATTCCGGGACTGGCTAAGTGTCGGCTAGGCCTCAGGGAACTGGGGTAGGAGTACTATCTCCGAGGGTACACCCGTTCCTAGTTATGACAACCCGCTCCACTCCGTACGATGCGCTGGTGAATCAAACAGTATGAGTAATTTACAGGAAACAAACAAGAATAGAAACGGGCTTCATACCCAACAAGCAGCGATTGAAGCAAGCGCTGAAATGAAGAGAACGCAAGCGTTGGAGCGCCTTGAAAAGCTGACCATTGAGCTACAAGAGTTTGTCCAAACTAAGGTCAATATCCACAAGGAGATAAAGACCAAGACAACCGGTGTAGTCAATGCTCTTGGAAGATTCAAGAAACTGGACGAGGAATGGCAGTCATCACGACGCCGCATTGAAACTGAAGTTGAGACGGAAGAAACAATGGACACTGGAGCCGACGGTGACGGTGAATCTGCTGCTGAGGACCAGGGTGAAACTGACACAAGGTCTGGAAAGAGAAAGGACCGAGATTCGCCAGAGCCAACCGACAAAGTTACAAAGAAGAAGGACCTGAAAAAAAGCCCTCCTCACCAACTGGCAGGGCAAGGCGACGAAACCAAGAAGACGATTGACTGGGAAAAAGTACAGTCTAAGAAGGAGAAGAGAAGGCTAGCTAGAGAGCAACTCTCAAAGCAGCCGCCGAAGGAGCCCAGGCCAGAGCCTAAGCGGAAAAAACCACGCAAATGGATCAGACCCGACGCACTGATCATCCGCCCGGCCGAGAAAACAAAGTATGCCGAGATTCTGCGTCGCATAAAGCAGGACGTCCCAGATGAGCAGGTTCGTTCAACTGTGGATAAGATCAACAAGACCAGAAGTGGAGACTTGTTGATTACGATTTCGAGGAAGAGCACTGACAAAGGCCAAGGTCTGCAAAAAACGATCGCGGACATCCTTAAGGAGGAGGCCAAAGTGATTTGCAAAGGGCCACAGGAGACTATCGAGATCCGAGATGTCGATGATGACACGACGAAAGAA